GAGATAGAAAACTGAAATTTTTTTAATAAACGTTAATTATCGCTTGATCATCCTTTACAACTTTGTCATATTATATAATTTTCATGACACCCTTGTTCACCCGTTTCTTAGGTGAAGTAATAGTTTACTAAAGAGATTGCAATAATATTTTATGGTTATCTTTACAAATGGGATCTGGTGCTTTAACGTATAACAATTAACTTGTATAAAGTAGTAGATATGGTGTGAAAGAAGTACATATACTATTGGAAGGCTTTCTGATTCAAGGCTGAATAATTTTCATCTAAAAAATTGTTTCATATTATTCAAAACAAATTATTCTTCTCTACTTAGGTTGTGCTATTTTGAGTATTCTTTTTATGACGCACCCAACACATATTTATTTGATTTTAATATGAATTGTGGTGATGAATTTAAATAGGTTACCAGTGGTTACTAAATTTTTTAAATACGAAATTTTAGGAATAAATTTTTCCTATAATATTCAAATAAGGTAATAAAATATTGTTCAACAAGTTTGTGATTAAAATAAAATACAAAAAAACTTCAGGAAAATAAAAAAAATTAACACAATTTTTGTTTTTCTAATCATCAAAATTCAAATGACTTTGCAGTTTTTGCATATTTTATTGTACAACGGCATAATATCGTAAAAACGTACTGCAAATTGTAATTATTGCTTGTTTGTAATTTCATTAAAATTTGTTCAAATTAAATAAAATAAGAAAAAACTTAAGATTATAAATTTGGAATTTCGCCGGCTACAATACCTACCCATACATTACACTTATAGGAAGAAGAAAAAAACAAAATTTGTATGTATTTTTATTGGGACTCTTGAATCTTTGGAAATTTTTTTTTATAATTTCATTTTCTATTCGATTGTGATGGCTGATATTGTTAAGATTCCTATATTTTTTGCATTTATATACCTACACTTTTTATTTTAATTTATGTTTTATATACGTATGTATGTATATATTTATATCGGAATAATTAAATAATACTCAAATGTATCCATTAATGGACAAGGTCGTAAGTTTAAACTTATGAAATAAGTAAAATATTCAGATGGGGTACTTGTATAAAGGAAGACATAATATGATAGATGAAATACTCAATATTATTATTCGTAGTTGAATGTAACGAGGTAATGAGGTATGAGTCAGTCTGACGTGAAGCGCATCGTCTATATATGATGAAAAGAGTGTATGATGGTTGAGTACTTGTTTTTCATAAATTTTTATATTGTGTATAAAATACCATAATTGTATAAATATTATATGAGAAATTGTGTGTAAATATGTAAATTAAATGTGTATAAGCATAACATGATGATGGTGGCTTTTGTTTTTTTTCTTTTTTGATATTTTTGTTATCAACAATATAATTTGTTTAATTTTTGTATTTACTTTTCATAAAACACCTGATTTAGGTATTTTTATTTTTTAATTCGCAATAATATTATTTAACATTATTTTTTCAAGTGTTTAATTTCAAGTGTATGTATGTATACAAGTGTATACAAAATATGTAAGTGTAAAGAGAAATACAAAATCTTGAGACATAAAGACGGAATCAAATGTACTTTTAATAGTGAAAAAGTATGTATGCGCACCTATGGGAGAAATTTGAAAATTATTCAAATGAAATTAAAAATTTGTAGAAAAAATTATTGTTGCAGGCAACTGTAGGATATACTTATGTTGCATATAAAATTAAAGAGATGTTGTAGTTTTAAATAGTGTTGCCAGCTATTTTTCGATTTGACTCTATAGAATTTGACTTTAATTTTACATATAAAAATATAAAGCCATCTAGTGAAGTAAATGTGCACAAAATCGCTTCTCATTTACTGCTTTGAATACAAAGTGATTCAGCAGTAAGTTAGGAACCATATAACATCGGGAAGCGGGTCGAAAATGAGTGAAATTTCATTTTGGAACATAGTGTTAAACCGTAGCCGTTTTTGAGCTACAAGGATTTTGAGAAAATTTGGCAAAATTTTAATTGAAAATTTTTTAAATAAAATAGCAGTTCTTGAAAATGTTACGAATAAAAATTTTACTCATTTTCAACCCTCTACCTGATGGGATATGACTCCTTACTTGTCAAATCAAGCTGTATATTTGTACTTATAATATACTGAAAAGTCTTTGTTGCATTTAAAGTGTAATACATACATTTAAAGAGTATTATACACAATAAAATGAAACGAACAGTATGTTGACATTACAGGGCCCATTTGATTGAATTTTAATTAAATTTACAGTTTTTCCTTTTTAAATACAATAATTCATTCCATACTAGTCAAAACATTATATTTAAAAAACAACTGAAGCTCTTAATATTGTATTTTGTTGAAAAATGTGATCAAGGATGAATATATTTAATAATTTTTTGGTTTTATAAAATTTTCATTCAAAAATTGAACATGGCGGATATTTCTTATAGTTTTGAATTCGTCATTTCTCTCCTCTCATCTCATAAAAATTTGCAAAAAAACGGAAAAATTTGAGACAATATGGCAACACCATCTAGCATCAACAATATCTTTCAACTTAATATTAAATCTATTTATATAAATATATTTATATTTACTAATATAATTATGCGTGTAAATAAATATTTTTAATAATATATGCTATGCATCATATCTACATATATAAATTAACATTATTGTTATACGTACTTGCACATATAGTAAACCGATAAAAAATTTCTGGTTTTAAATTGTGGTATACTTACTTACTTATTAGACGGGATATTGTAATATTATGTGCGCATGCACCTGTAACTTATCATCATGAACTGTCTGTTTCTCTATATTATGCATATTTTAGAGTTAAATATCAGGTATCAAATAACTAAATGAGTCAATACACTTAAATTAAATATTCATTTATATAATATAAATACTCAGTTTTCTTCTCTATTTAATAATAAATTGCATATACTAGAGTTTGCTAAATTTTCGGTTTTTTTTTAACGAATGTAATATTGAAATATTTTATAATACGAGTATAATCTTTAAGTAAATATGTAAATTAATATATGTATATGCTTTATGTATGTAAATTAATATATGTTATATAATTGCGGTATATAAGAAATATTATATTGAATAGAAATTACAAAATAGTTTAATATATTATGCAAATTAATAAAAAAAAAAAAATAAACAAATTTATTTATTAGTTAATTATAAAATTAAATAATACAATTTTATTTTTCATTTCTAGATTTTATAAGCGGGAAATCCTTTTGATTTGGTTTCAAGAGAACTACTATGTTACATAATATACAGGAGTAAATTGTTTTAAATAATATGATATAATCGGTACTGGAACATTATTTACCTATAAAAGAGATTAAAGGTATTTGATATTCGTGTAATTCTCTTATATTTTAATTAGTGAAGAATAATTTTTTGAAATTGAACTATTTAAAATTTAATTGGAAAATAATTGTATGTATATGTTTCATACGAAGCCGATAATTTCTGCAATTATAATTTTAAAAAGTATATATATTTTTTTAACCAGGATCTAGTGTTAACCACTTGTAAATCAGATTTAGTTATTATAATAAAAGAATTTGATATATTTTCAGGTCAAAATACAGTGGAATAATTTTATTAAATCTCGCTTCAACTATAATGTGCATACCTAACTCAAAAATTTTTGAAGTTCAAATGGAATATTTCGGGTGATTTTATATGATTTTTGATATTTTTTAAAGGATTTTCTGTTGATTGTTAAGTCTAATATAAAGGTCATAATTTAAAATTTCAAGGAAATTATAAATTTTTTAATGGAGAAAAATTTTAACTTAAAATGTTGCAGACGCATTTTATTGTAAAGAAATAATTTGCTTTCTAAACCGAATTAAATAAAATTAAATTATAAGTGTATATTCTAAGAGAATGTTATAAAACCCTTACAAAATTAAAAAAAAAATATTACAAAATATTATAAAAAAAATTCCATTTAAAAGGTACAATTTGAACAATTTTCAAATTTACAATTTCTTCCCAATGTGTCATCGTTATATATGCCTTTCTTCTGTCAGTCTATTGTTATACGTTTTCTTTTCAGATTAAAAATGAGTTCCTTAAAAAATTCAATATTTTATTAAAAATTTTATTTTCAGGCAAAAAATAAAAAATTCAATCTGATAACAGGAAATTAACAAAAATTAATTGAATTCGAAATTCTAGAAATATTTAAAATGTACCGAATCAATTCCGAAAAATGCAGTTGAATTGAAAAATTTTCATTGTTACATAATTTAACACTTATTTAACGTGAAACAGCAACGGATTTGGTCCAGAAAATTAAACTCACCTCAAAATATTACTGAATATAGTTACTGCTGCTGTGGATATTTTTTTTGTGTATGTTTTTGGTATTTTGTGTTTATCATCCAACATACTACTATGTGTGAAGACTGGAGAACCATTCTATTGTTTACATTAATGGTAATTTATGTTTAGCATTAGCTTATTGTGCTTACAGGTGAGAATGTAATTATATATTTTAAATAAAACTTCAAAAATTTTCAATCGTTTCAAGTTTTTTTTTTATCATTTTTTTTCGTTCATTTTCATTATAATGTTTTTTTACATACATACAATAACAAGAACAAGAATTTTAGAAAATATCAATTTTTTTTTTTGGAGTAATACCAATATTTTGTCATATACATATATATATATACATATATACATATGCAATTTGAAAGTTTACAATATTGAGTAGTTTTAAAATGGCTTTTTATACAATAAAGAAAAGTTAAAAAATAAAAATAAAATAAAAATTCTAAAATATAAAAATACAAAATATTCTTACATTACAATAAAACAAAAAAAAAAAATTCACCATTTTTATGATTTACTTAAAATATATGCAAATCATAATTTATATAACATTAAAGTTAACATTATAATTTAAGAAAAACAAGAAAAATTATAATATATGTAAAAATATTAAGTCTTTCAAAGCAAAATCAAAAAAAATGTTGTTCGTATAATCTTTTGATTTTCTAAAATAATATAAAAGTTAAAATAGCTAAGTTGTAAAAATTAAAAAATTATATAATATAGAATTAAAATAATAATAAAAATAAAGTAAAAATATTACAGTTTAAATATAACAGTAAAATAAGTAGGTACATACATAAAGTTTTTAAATATACACAATACTTTTTTTTTTTTTGTTTGTTTTCTTTTTCAATTAATATTATTCAAATATAATTATAATATAATTTTTTTTTTTGTTTTTTATTTTAGAAATGTCCATGTCCTTCATATGAATGATGTGGTATTATAACTTTATGATGTCCATGTCCTAATGGTTCACGATGTACTTCAGCATTAAAACCACTATGTGGATCAGCATGATATTTTACTGTACGTTTATAACCATCAGCATCAATTAAACTATATGAACCATGTACATTATGTCCATCACTTGATTCATGTTGATCTTTAACATCACCAGTATGTTCATCATGTACACCATATGAGAAATCATATGGTTGTGGTGGTTCATGATGTTCAAGTAAATGATGTCCAGCTTCATGATATTCAATTGGTGTAGCAGCAATGAATCCAATTATTGTAAAGAAAATAATATACTATATAAAAAATAAAAGAAGAAAATATTTTTATGGATTATTATATATATAAGAAATTCGAATATATAAGAATGAAACAATATTACTATTTTAAATAATAGAGAAAGTACAAGTTCCGGTAAAGAAGTTTCAATTTTTTGTATATGAAATCTTAGTCTTATTACTCGTATAATTAAGAGTCTTGATTTAAGAAATATTTGATTTTAAGGTTTTAACATAACATTTTTTACAAGACATTAGATTTTAAATTTTTGAAATACTTCCGGTATATTACAAACAAATTCCAATATTTTTTTTTATTTAAGCATGTAATTCCAAAATATTCATATACATACATATATGAATTAAAAAATATTAAATTGCAGTTACTGATTAAACTTATAAATGTATGCTGTATGTATAAATGCATATTCATATTAATATTGTGATTAAAATATTCGAGTTTATCAGCTACGCATCAATGCATTTTTACACTTAAACATTGAAAATTGATTCAAAATTTTAAAAATATTTAATAAAAATTTTAATTTTATAGCATAAAATTTACAATAATAATTGTAATTTTAGGAAATTTTCATTTCCTACTTAAAAAATTTATGATACGACAGTAAATTTAAAGGAAATTTAAAATTTTTTCTATCCATGCACGCATTGTTGGGTTTATATAGACTTTTAATGCTCTAATATGATTTTTATACAAAAATACTAAAAATAAGTAAATTTTAAATTAAAAATTGCAATATTTAAAATTTAATTATTAATTTTGTTAAATACATAATTATATTGAATCAATTGTAGTATATAATCAAAATGTTATATAATAATTAAAATGAATTTTAATTAATTCACAATATATGACTATACTCGTACTATGCAAAATTATTACGAATCACAATATTCAATAAGAATTGTGTAATTTATGTAATACAAATTATATTATAACATTGTTGTATAATAAAAATTTCAAAATGTAAAAAACTGAGATTATATTTTATATTCCAATATAATTATAATTATATAATGTAGCTTTGTTTAGTAATTATTGTATTAAAAAATTCACTTTATTATTTTATTTATATCATATTTTTCTTAATTAATTAAGTTCTTTATAAATATTTTTCAAGTTTTCAATTCAATTAATTTAATTCACAATATTAAAATTATTTAGAGTCATTTTATAAAACAAAAATCATTCACAATAGAACAATATTATTCTTTATTTGAAAACAAAAAAAGAAAAAACTGAATTCATTCACAATAATCACTCTCTTTTTTAATTATTTTAAATTTAAATTAATTTGTTATTATAATAATAATTAATATAAATTAATAAATTATATTAAATTATTTATTATTATTTCAAACTTTTTAATATTTTCCGTTTTAAAGGAATAACAATGATACTATTTTTTATTATGTAACAAAAAATTGAGATAATTATTATTATTATGTAAAAATCCTTACTTTATAAGCCATTTTAAAAATATTTATAGAAGAATTTTTTTTTTTGGATCCTAATTATATAATAATTATTTTTTTGATGTTAAAAAAAATATTGGTGTTGATCCTATTAGATTCAAATGCAAACTATATTTTTTTGAATATAGTAACTATCATTTATATAGTCCATTTTCGATTCACTAAACCATTTTATATTGCACAAAATAAATGTATGTATACATGTACGTAATTATTATAATATTGCTTCTGTCTACGACCTATGTATATTGCGAATATTATAACGTATATGAGACTGAGATTACATACATATATACATGTGGAAATTATAATGGTATAATGATATTTTCAAGAAAATATGAAAATGTAAGAAATGTAAGAAAAATCAGAAAAAAAAATAATAATAATATAAAAAAATTTTCTTTTCTTTTTTCCTTTCTGCACATTTAATACAAGAAAAACAAAAGAAGAAGAAAAAAAAAATCGTTAATCAACCAGGTGATTAATTTCACCTATTGATTCTTGTATTTTTAATTTTACGTTTTTTTTTTTGATTTTTTTATTCGTTTTCCATTTTTTTTTTGAAGAAAAATGATTGTGTATTTATTTACATTATTTTTATACTTCATGTTTACTTTTTAGATTATAAATATAATAAAATGTAAGGTAGAATCTCCCACTTTTCTTTTCAAAAAAAAAAAAACAAACACCAAAAAAAATATTAGAGAAAAACTACAATGGTTACTGTTAATAGAAAACTTCGTTAACATAAGAAAATTTTTTTTAAAAGAAAAGGAAAAATTATTTTTGTTTTTCATATTGTTTTTTATTGTTTTATTATAATATGAATATGTATGTATGTATATTAGTTAACTATATATAAAATTATAGAAGCTAACGATACTGTTTTGTTATAAAAGTATTTTTTAATTCACTTTCTTATTATTTTCAAGCTATATGAGTTCATAGTCATAATAGTATTAGTAATTTTAAAATGATCATAAATGTATGCACAGTACCCAGGTGGTATTTTGGAAAAAAAATATTTTAAAATATTCTTAATTTTGAGAGTTGCAACCCATATTTGTTACAATACATGCCTTAAAATCATTGATTATTATTCACATTTTTTTTTGTAATTTTTAGAATTATATCATTTTCAAAGTTTGGAGATTCTGATGACGATACTAAAAAACTTCAGTGTTTTCAAATAATAGTCACATCATTTTAACTAATACGTGTTGGAAACTTATGACAGAATGAAACCTGAACTAGTGAAAATTGTCATTTTAATGGAATAAAATGAAGGGAGTGGAAACGGTTTGGAATACCTTTGATCTATCAGTAAAAATTTACGATAAATGGATATAAAAAAAATTAATTACTATTCGAACAAGTAATTTAGTTGGAATATTCATTTTAGGTTTGGAGGAATATGAAAACGAAACTATAATTAAAAAGAATAGAAACTGAATGTGGAATCAACAAATATGTTTGCTGAGAGAACCAAACAAAGATTTTTATGTTTAAGTTTTGGAGTTAAAGACAGCATAAAAGAAATTTCAGTTAATCTAGACTTAGAAACTGAAGCAAAGTATTTTAATATATTATAGTATATTAATATATTAATATACTATAGTAATACTACAAAGTATTTTAATATATAATATAGCTTCATAGATTTAAGCCGTTTGTATTTAAAAGACTCTATACTTAAAAGACGTTAGTGTAACTTTTTTCATATGCTATGAGATGAAATATTCGATGTAGAACAGAAAATAACAGAAAATGGAATATCGTTTAGAAAAAAAAAAGTTTTTGAAACACATAAATTGTTTAAACGAACTGTGTGGTTTCCTTGTTAAAAATGTAAACATGCGGCTCAATAGCTTTTGAGTTTTCCAACTATTCGAATTGTTATTTCGGTCGGATAGATTATAAAATATAAAAATATATATTTTTAGGCAAATAGATTAGTATTGATGAAAATCGTACGGCATTATTTTTTCTGAAAATTATATTCTAATTTTAGCAATGATAGAAAATGTTCGGTTTTACACAAAGCTTGAAGAAAATTATTATACATATTCATTAATTAATTCTATTAATTGAAAAGAAGGCAAAAAATCCGACTGGGTAAATTTGTATTTGTATCAGCTGAAATAATAATGTGCATAACTCCTATTTATGCATTCATTTCAAATTCGGTAATGTATTATAATTTTTGTACCGTTTTGTATATTAACATAAAATTAATTATCAAATCGTAAAATTCCAGCTCTGTTTGATAGCTTTTGTTTTCAAAAATAAATTCGATGTATTGTAATATTAAAAACGTAATAGAAGTTAGCTTATACATTATTATAGTTTAATAATAGTTTCAATGAATATGTTGCATATATATGAATGCTGCAATAACGGGTTCATAATGGGATTTAAGAATCATTACATGATACAAAATTTTATCTCTATATTATGAAAAAATAAAATAGAAAAGAGTTCAACAATAAATTTACATACCAACATTAAGTTTGTTTAATAAGTTAAGTATATTGTTTTACGCTTGTTTGTATGATTATGTTTGCTATGTGTTTAATTTTATTGTAATTATTGTATGTGTATAAAATTAATGTATGCTGAACATGTTTAATGTATATGTGTAAATTTAAACGTGTTTGTATTTGATTTTTTTGATTAAATAAGAAATAACAAAAGGAAAATATTAAAATTTGAAAACAGTAGCAACAAGAAGAAAATTTTAAAAGGAACAAGAGAGGAAAACTAGACAACAACAGTAATAACAACAACGACAACAACATATTCTTTGGAATGCAAACCATTAATGAAAATGATTTACTTTTGATATGGACTTTGTGTTCTTTTTGTTACTGCTATATGAAATTATTGTTATGTTAGTGTTGTTGTAGACGTTTCTTTTTTGTGTTTTTTTTGTAATTTTATGTTAGTTTTTGCATGAACATTTTACATGGGAAATGTGGCAAGCTATTAAATATAAAAAAAAAAATAAAATATAAGAAAAAGAAATATGGGTAGTATTTAGAAATAGAAATGCAGCGATGCAATGAAGTAAAAAGAAAAAAAAAAATTAGAGTGGTTTTTTGTTTTTTTTTTTATTAGTTTGATGGGAAAATATTTCCTTGATTATAAACATACATTCACACTCATATACACTTTTAATAATTATACATACTTTATAATATGCAAAATATTAGTGTGAAATATTCTTAAAATCTTATAATAATTATAATAATGTTGTTATATTTAGAGCAAAATTTCATATTTCACATATCTTTTGATAGATCTGAATATTTCTGCGCAATTGCATATTTCTGATGAAGAAACACAAATTCCATATGTACATTTAATTATGAATTTCAGAATTAGAAAAGAGTTAGAGGCACTAACCGGCTGTATTGAGGTAAGGAGAAGATATATAGATTAGTTGAAGGAAATAATAAATTCGTAAAGTGTTTTTTAAATTTCAGATTCATATTAAAGATAATTTCCTAATCAGATACAAGAAGTGAAAGTCGCTTTTTTATATCAGCTGTCCGTATCATCAATTGTGCTTTTTGGAAAACAACATTGTAGATAATGTTATAACTGGTGACATTTCTAATATTTGAATTCGAGAAAAGGTAGGTCGAAATTGGATTTTAAAAAATATCAATGGTTACATTTATATATGATGTCACATTTTCTATTACAAATCGATAGTAATAATTGATTTATTTAAATGAAAATTAGATGAGAAATTGAAATTTTCCAGTATTTAAATTTAAATAGTAAAACAAGTCAAAAAATTTTTATGTTAGAATTATAATAAATTGAATTAAATTGACCAAAAGACCATCTACTGTAGATATTTCAATTACATGCCAAGTCGATCGCATAAAACATCCGCCTGAAACATTTAAACCAAATGAATTCTAGTGTTTCGCCAGGATCAAGTGTCTGCAACTGTTCTCTTATGTAAGAGTGTGACGTATCTGCTTTCTTGTGAATCACAGCTCCATATCTTCTTGAAACGTGCATTCACTTTACCTCTTCCTCCTCCTTCCAAAACCTAATTTTACGATAGAAAGCAAATCTTGAAAATTTTGTTTTTTTTAAAGTAAAATTTTTAGCAATTTTAAATTTTGTAAGAGATTAAAGTAGAATATTCTCTTCAAAATATGATTTATTCGTTAATTAATACTTAAACATAATGAAATTACAGGAAATTGCATATTTTATAGACAATTTTTGTTTAAATTTTTATTTCTTAACTTTTTTTTTTATTTTGTTCTAATTTCAATCTTGTTATTATTACATATTATATAATCGGATCAATTAAAATAATTTGCAATATGGCATGATATGATAATAATATGTAATAATAAAAATAATTATACAAATTTACATATAGCGTTTACACAACATACAACAAATCTATTGCGATCAATTAAAATACGCGAGAAAAATTACACTAAATCTTATGATTTATTGTATATATTAAATGATGCGATCTATAATGGAATTGTGTCAACTCAAATTATATGAAATTATATATATATAAGAATTTAACAAGATTAAATAATAATTTTGCTTACGGAAATCATTAAATTTACAATATAAAATCAACTACATTACGAGTCTATGAAAAATTGCAATAAAATTATAAAATGGAATTTCAAATCAGCATTTAAATTTATAATTTAGAAAAATATATTTTGTTAATAAAAGTAGTGTCATCTATTGAGTGAAACAGGCATATAATGCAAAAATTTTTTAAATTATCTTAATTATATTTGATTAAATTACAAAAAAAACACAATTTTATATTTATTATTATAAGTGAGTTTAAATGCTTGTTAGCATGTAATTAACCAATAATTTTAGAAAATAAGATAGAGAGAAAAAAAAACAAATATTTAAAAATTGCGTTTTATTAATTAATAAATAATAATGGTAATTCAAATATTTAAATAACGGTATTGGCGTATATACGCATACAAAATATATACATGTTATAATATTAGACGTTCAGGTCTATTTAATACGGGATTGCGACATTGTTTTTATCTTCTTATTTATATATTGCATATATGAATTCAATCGTA